CTTCTATACACACCCGTGGTAATGGAGGGATACAAATGCGACTCGGAAGTGATTGCCGACAACGCCTGGTGTACGCCGGGCAAGGGTCGCGAAAACAGCCCTCCGTGCTTTCGGAAATCATGGACGAACCGCCGCCGGCCGCAGCCGGTCACCAAGCGTTCTCGAGGCCGAGCTTGCGGCTTAAACGAGGATTTTAATTCCCCCCTGTAGCAACTTGGGTCTCCAGTCATATCCACGCTGTCGACTGTCGCCGAGCATTTTTGTCTCTTGAAGGATGTCGCGTGGGAGTGTTGGCTTTAGAGTGGAAGATACAATTGAGCTGTTTGGTCGATGACCAAACATTCGGATTTGTCCTATTTTCGGAATTTTTGCTACGCTTGAAATAGAATCACGCCGGATTTCCGTCTCTTGGCTCGTCGTCTCTTCGTTTTCTTTTCTTTCCCTTTTCTATTTTTCAGATAACAGACACTTCTCGAAGCTTCGGTTTGGTACACTTGTAAATGGTAAACGATACCTTCGAGCACGGACGTAATTGAACTCTTTAGTGAATGACTGGTTGGAAAGTGGAGCAGTCTAATTAATTGACTCGGTTCCAACTGTTTTTGGAATGTTGAACCCTTACAGCTCGTCCGGGGATCCCTTCTTTCCCTGATCTCTATTTTTCCAAAGCCAAAGGACACCAGAATTTTTTTCGATCGCTCCGTTTCTCGGACTCCGTGTCCCTTTCGGGTCAGCTTTTTTTTTCCCCCCGCTGGAAAATAACAGACGTGATTGAATTCCTCGATCGATTACTGGTTCGAAAGTAGTGTGGTCTAATTAACGAACGCGAGCTATTTTCGGTATTTTACGCCCGTCGACCTCTTGGACATCCGTTTTCTCCTGTCGAAATAGAAAGATTACTCCACTCCTTGAAAATACACTTCTATTTCACCATACTTGGTTTACGTGGGAGTACGATCTTCCACGTCGGTACCCGATAAACTGCGAAATCACACGTCTACTACCGTTATCTCCTTCGGCTACTTAACTCACCTTTAATAAACGACACCGTGGCATAATAACCATGATCGAAAACCTAAGGGGGAATTGAACGTTTTTATCTATCGTATAAAAGCTCTCTTCCACGTAACAAGAGGTCTAACCATAAGTGTGTATGTCCCCCCTCTCCGATCGTTCGTTGTCCAAATCTAGATGTGGTTTCGTCTGCGTACGAGATGAAAAGACGAGCACTTCCTAATCTCTTTGATAGTAGCAGTAGTTTCCACGTGTTGTGCTCGATTTGCTTTCTCTCGAGTTGACGACATGCGTGTACACACGCGTCTTAACGAACGGCTTGGAAATGTATGTATAAAACGCGCAGGTTCCCCGGCGGTAGGCCGTTTGGAAAAAAAGCTATCCAGCGTCGGTGGTGGCGGCAGGCCGGGGGAGAGAAAGTCACCCGGGGAAACCGTAGTCCTGCGTAAATTTGTGAGAATCTGCCGTGGAAGCGCAGTACGAGTTCAGGCCGCGCGCGGATGGCCATATAAGGTGCGCGAACAAGCTCGCGCATCTCTCCCTGCTAGGTAGGTAGGTAGGTAAGTTGGTTCGTTGGTTGTTTCGTTGCTTGCTTAGAGTTGGCTGGGTAGGCTGGTTGATTGATTGGTTAGTTGGCCGTTTGATTGGCTCGCCGATATTATTACCGAGGCGTTATCTACGATTTACAGGCTCGAATCGAGCCACGATGCTACCTCGCTCTTCTGCCTTGTTTTCTGCTTGTCGCCGCTTCGCTCGTTAGGCATCCGGAATTTACGGACCGATACAGATCGTACGTCATCGTGATCGTCCTTCTCGTGACGTCGTAGTTTTCCTATGTTATCGCTTGAATGATCGATTTCTTGTTTACTGCTCTTAGATCTCGAGCTTTTTTGCGCGAAACATGTAAAAATTGTGTTTGCCCGTTTGACACTTTGAAATCACCCATTAGCCAGTTTCCAAAAGTGACTTTTTTTTATGTAACTTAACAGGTGACTGAAAGATTTGCCAACGTGCGGGAAATAAGGTAGAATGTTACAACTGATAACACTTATTATTATCGAAAATTCCCTTCTTTTCTTTCTCTTTTTGGAAAATTGCAAATGGGTCATTTTCACTGGTGTTAATTAATTTCTATTGCGCGTTTAAAAGAGTTCTAGGAATAGTAATTTGTAGAGCGAGGCAGAAACCTTGCGGCGATGAATCATAAATTTTGTAACAGGACATGTTCTTGAGAACCTTAATGTATGCAAACAAAATTAAAATCTGATTCATGGTGACTTCTAGTTTGTTTTTCAACTTATCTAGCTGTACGTCGTGAATGCCTATACTCGAAAGATACCGATTCAAAACTTGCCGATATTTTACTATCTTCTGCGCCGATTCGTTTGTTCGAATAATTATTCTGAACACACATAAGCGGACACTAAAAGAAAAACAAGGAAATATTTCTCCGGATCAAGTGTTCACTTTTCATACTAACAAATAATGTTCCACTGTTTCAGGAAGACGGCACTTCACCTAGGTCGGACGTGTGCGCCAATGAAAGCGACGGAGACACCAGCGACGGCGATTCTCCCGTGTCTAAGGATCTCTCGAAAAATCACTCGGGTAAGTCTGTTGAAAACCGTCTGTCCCTAAACATCCTGCAATACTTTCCTCGTCCTGCATTTTCAGAAGGAGGCTCAGATAACTTACACAGAAACACCATGTACATTTTCATGAATAAAGAGTGTATTATCGATAAATTGATCGGAGTGTATATAGACGAGTGTGAGTGGCTCGATTGCGCAACGATATAACGCCTGTCGAAACTCGATGTTCCAAAACACTTGTTTCCTCCCTTCCGTCGTGCTAGAACAATTTCACCTGTCCGTCCGCGATTCCGTGCCCGCTTCGAGAGACAATCATACAGCTGCGCATACGAGCCGAGTAATTAGCAAATTTCCCCGTGGGCGTAGCAGGAGTCCGCGACTAAGTAGCAAGCGGTAAAAGCTGTGGCGTGGAAAATCATTAGAGTAGGTAGGTAGTCGAGCAGAGGCAAACGTGCAATCCAATCAGTCAGGTAGGTCGGCAGACAGAGAAAGAGATAGAGACAGAGCAAAAGAGTTGGCGAAGGAGGAGGAGGAGGAGGAGGAGAGGAGAACGTGGAGAACGAGAGAATGGTATCAGAGAGGTAAACGTATATGATGCGTAGAACGCGGGAGCGAGTGAGAAACCGGGGAAAAGAGAGGGAGGGGCCGCGATGACCAAACTAAGACAACGACGCGCTGCCTAACTGGGAAGTAAGATCCGGTCGAAAGCCGCGCTCCGATGCAGGTGTACACATAAATATCGATGCTAATATATGGAGTGGATGCCATCCGACTTACCGATCGCCAGCATGACGTACGTTTTTTTTTTCTTTTTTCGCCTTTCCATTGTTCCCCGCGGCACAAACTGTCTACCCGGTGGAATTTTGATAACTCGTCGCCACGCGTTGATATCTCCAACCCGGCGGGGACCGCCGACGATCTTTTACCCCGTCGACCGCGTTTCCATTGCCCCCCCTGGGATTCTGTTTCTTTTTTCTTCGTTTTTTCCTCTTCTTCTTCTTTTTTCCCTTTTCTTCCTTCTTTTGTTTCTCTTTTGGTCGGTTTGCGAAATTTTTCCGCCGGTTTCTTGCTCTTGCCTGCCGACCGATGCTTGTTTGTTGGTTAATTGAAGGAAAGGAGCTGAGTTTGAACGATTAACTTTTGCAGGTATTTCACTGGAGGTTAAGTGACTTTTGATGCAAATGCGCTGCTATTTCTTTATTGTTCTTTTGATGCGGCTGTAAAAGGAGAGTAATTGCTTCTATGGGATGCATGTTGCTATAATTTCTGTGTAAATTATCGTTATGCTGAATGTATTTATAGGAATTGTACGAGAGAATCGAATTTCGTACATGGTGTTTCGTCAATTTACAACGACTAATCGCGCATCCCTGTTTTTACCACTTTTCGCCAAACGTAATACGCTACCACTTAAAAGTTTAATCGCATCCGTTTAAAATATAGTAAAACAGAGAGTGATTATAGAAAAACGATGAACTAGGCGAGAATGATAAACTTCGTTCTGTTTAATTCGATGTGAAACTTTGAATTTTATAAACGGAATTGGAATTTCGAATCGAAATGAATCGAATTACATCGCACTTTTGCATTGCGGTATGAAATGTATGAGCGATAGTGTAATTTCAGCGATGCATTCAGCTTCTACTTGATCAATTTAAGTAACGAAAGAAACTGAAAAACGGATTAAGCCTGTTGGAAAATTCTGTCGTTTTTTCTGCCCTTTATTTAACTTATGATATATGCGTACTTCTTTAATTTGCGATATAATCGCCGTCATTTTGTGTGACCATGCTTCATCTTTCTGGTAATTTATCATCGAAACAGTTTCCACTGAAAAAACGGCAGATTTTTATGCAAAAGAAATTGATAAATTACCAGAGAGATGGAGCATGGTCATACAAAGTGACGGCGATTATATTGCAAATTAAAGAAGAAAGTAAGCATATAGGTATAGGTTAAATAAATAATCTTCAATGGAACAACGAATTCTTCGACAGCCTTCAAGATTTAAATCGCCATTTTCAAACTTTACCAACCATCTCTGCACTGTTCTAACATTTACAATATTGTCTTCGAAAGTGTTATCTGTGTTATCCAGTGACATGTTTACTGTTAAACTTTCAACGATAAACTAACGACTGACACCCATACTCAGATTACTTTTATAATTTAGGTCAGGGTAATCAAAGTCAGATCAATTGGGAATTCAGAAGAAAGATTTCGAACAATGTAAAAGGCCAGGATAAATATGGCTCGAGAAAACGACAGAACAAATCATATAAAATACACGTTATTCGTTTATTCTGCAATATCTATTTGATCGCCTTTAAAATAATCCCCATTGTTTGCAAGACGCTTACGCCGACGATTTCTAGGATAGATTTTAGCACATTTAGCGAATTTTCCTTTACCGCCTCATTTAACTTAAAACAACGTCTTTGTATTTCAAGTTTCAGTCTGAGAAACAGGAAAATGTCGCATGGTGCTTGCGATATGATGTTAGTCGAGTGTAACAAATAAACTTACAAAAGACACGCAAAAAATAATATTTCTTTTTTTCGCTAGAAAAATGACACGTCTCGAAAATTGTTCATTTTGAGATATCTATAAGAAATAACTCGAAAAGTGAGCGTGATTAAAATTAAAATTAAAATTATACTATTTAACAAGAAGAATGTCACAATTCAAAATAAGGCTATTTTAACTCTATTTTTAAATACAAAGCAATATAAACAATGTTTTAGTAGAAATCCTTAAAACCTAAAGACTATTTAGTTAAATTGTAAAAGAAACAAAAATTTCTTTATGAATAGGTATTTGTAAATTAATAAATAATTTTACGGGTCAACCTAATATGAAAATTACCCACATTTCCCAAGAGAACTTCCATATTTTTGTGCAGGTATAATGTACCAGATGCCACAGACAGTAATATACTCACCTAGTCCAGGAGTTCTGCTTGGTATCGGGCAAAACGGTCAGCCAGTGCAAATCTCTCAAGAAGGAGGTGAGAAACCATGATCATCCCCTGGAACGCTCTCCCCCCCAAAAAACACACACACACACACGCAAAAAAGAAAAACAAAACAATAATCACACTGACAAATCCATCATCCTTCCAAGTATTAACGAACGAACGAATCCTGATGGACATACTGAAAGTTTGCACTCGAGGGTTGCTCTCGTATAATCGAGACAGACGTTCCCGACGCAAAAGAAGTCCCCGTCGTCCCTCTTCCTGTTTCCCAAGTAGAGGATTTTTGGCATTGTTTCACAGGCACGGTTGCCCCGGTAAACTCCACGCAGAATAATCAACCGTTCATCACGATACCGCTGAACGTCGCGATGAGCGCCGCCGGCTTGTCGCTTCCGGTTACCTCCAGGATGAATCTGTCGCCGTCGCCTCGATCGCCGACGACAACAATCACGTCGAGCTGCGAGCTTCCATCAGATCTGAGCAAAGATCGTGAGTGATATATCGCAGCTCGTGCTTCAATTAAGAAAATCCTCCCCCAACTGTCGCTCGCCGATGCAACAAAGGGTAAAGAAACTCCCGGACCAACGCGAATTATTCGCGAGGGCAACAATGTGATATTCGTAGCGGTAGCGAGATTCGCCTGTTTGTTTTCACACCGAAGTACCAAATTTTCCCTTGCGAATATTTCACATTAGGACTCTTACTTCTGCTCGGACTTACGTTTTCCCGCTCTACCGTTCGGGGGACTCTCAAGTTGGTGCTGGACTCGAGGGGTTTAACCATTTCAGTGCCAGGGGTTGTTGCAGAAATCTTGCACGACAGTGCTTGTTTAACTTTTAACACTCGGTATATTTTATGGCTATAGCAACTCGGAGCAATATTAAGACTTATTAACAGGTGAACGTATAATATGAGAATTAACAGAAAAAAGAGAAATAAATGATATTTATTGAAAATATAGAATGCATTATTAGAAAATACGGTCACGGTCCGTTATTATTGTTATCTTTATTTTAAATTATCGGGAAAGCAGTACGTGTCCCCGTAAAATGCCCGCCGAGTGTTAAAGATTAACGTGATCTCGACAAATAGCAAGCAGTGCGAAAATATCGAAAAATGCCAATCGGTATAATATCGCGCGATTTGTCTTAAATAAAGTCATAATCCTTCGTTTCCACACAAGCTTCGGTAAAGATGCTCGTCCATTTGAGAGTAGAACTATCGCGAGTTGCTCTCGAGGGTCAAATTTATCAGTGTACACGGTATTGAGAGTGGCTGACAGAGAACTGGACAGACAATTAGAGAGTATACTCTCGAGAGCAACTATCGTAAAAGACTCACGAATGAATACGTACCCTAGACCGACGACGCGTTACAATAGAATCGAAACGCGCACCGTCAGTTGCACGTCGCAATTCAACGCAGTGGCACTTTTCGCTATAACATGTGGACAGGACGATTACGCTGTGTGGCACTGAAACGGTTGAATCGAAACGCTGGGTAGGTGGCCCTTTTTCCAAGCTGTGCCGGCGGGTGAGCTGCATCCGAAAACAGCTCCGGTACCAATCTGGAGAACTGGTAGAGTGTGGAAAGTCACTCCGTTCGATCCTGTAACCTGGCGGATGCCCTCATAGCTCCCCGTCGCACAGGTAGGCCATCAGGGTTCGGTGGTCACGTTGATTGGACGTGTCTCACATCCCGTGCCCATGGGGGTCTTCTAGATAAGGGTCACACCAGGTGACGGACGTTAAACTGCAGAATTAACTTGCTGGGATTTACGGATATCCGAATCGTTGGGTATACGGTGTGTCTGTTTTATCTGGAAACGCAGGAGTATCTCGTAAACCGTTTGAAGATAACGAAAATGTTATTATTGTGAAAGTTATTCAATATGGAGGGGGACATTGTGTGGTGTAAATGATTTTTGCTCTCTTTTTATGTCAAGTTGCAGAGGAGATTTCGAGATGAAATTAATTTTTTTTTTAATGGGGTGTTTATTCATAATGCGGTGGTATTTGTTAAGACGAGTAGAACGGTGTGTCGCATAAAGTCGTTGAATGTAGTAGAAGGTCATAAATTAGTGAGATCGTAAGGAGTCTGATCAACGCGAATCGCAAATCGTCGGCAAGCTGAACACTATATGATCGTGCTACGGACTCCAACTAGACCACTCAGTATCTGCTGAACTACGCGATACGCTGATACGCGACACACCGTTGTATTCGTGTCTTAACAAACGCTGTGATATTATGAATAAAGATGTGTGGTATCCCGTTTAAAAAAAATTAAATTAATCTTAAAATGTCCTCTACCACTTGGTACACAAGAGAAAACTATTTATACCACACAATATCCCCCTTCGTGTTAAATAACTTTTGTAATAAGAATTTTTTTCGTTGTTTCAACGGTCTGCGAGATATTCGCGCGTTTCTAGATAAAACGGACACGCTGTATGAGTACTTGGACAACTGCTCATTTTCGTTTTAGATATCTTAATACTTTTGTGTTGGCGCATTTTCGCGTGTACTTTTTGCGCCCTTATATTCGTGAATGATTTTTCGGGGAAAAAGTAATGTCCAAGTATTTTTTCTTTCATGGAAAATATCTAAGACTTTAAGAATTAATACCGGTATACTGCTAGCTTTTGAGAAAATTTGCGTATTTTTCGCACCTTGATTTTCGATTAGTAAAAAATGGCAAAAAGGTGGGAAAAATACGCGCGGAAATACGGTGTACTTGGTGGAGGAGCTATAGCGATGGTCGTAAAATCAGACAGGCGTGAAGGAACATGAAATCTGATCGGCGAAACATCAGATTGGGTGAGATAAAGAGCTTGAGCCGCATTCAGAGTCGTACGAAGTTAAATCGACACCGGTTTTCCCATTACGGTATATTTAAAAAAGTGATAAAACCAGAAGAAAGGGGTAGATGCGGGTCTCTACACCGATTGAGATTTGGGGGGGTTCTATAAAACGCGCACGGCCCTGCGTGCGGCTAGATCAATCGATGTTTTCGGCTAATGTGAAGATTTACGACTTCGCTATTACCTCTTCCACCAAGCATACCCTTGCGATCAGTCCATCGGATACTAAATGTCAGCGTCGAACAGTCTCCTATACGTAACTAACTCTCGCATTCTTCAATCTTAATCCTTTACCTAAACTTGCTCTCTTTAGTCGAAATTCGGATGAGAAAAGCCTCGCGTTTGAGTAATCGACAAAGAAAATCGGGATACTAGAATACTTGGATACAAGTCTTGGATATTTGGATATTTCGAGTACCCAGATATCGGAATAATAAGAGCTGTTTCACATTGATCTGTGAGATTCAGAGTGTCTTTCTTTTCCACGTTTATCGCTATTTCTACGTGACGAATTTAAAGTGACAGCGACGAAAAGCCTCGAAGAGCGAAATTATAAATCTGCCACGAATTAGAAGCTTTGATAAATTTCTAAATGAAATTTTGAAATTTTTCGCGTTGGTGTGAACACACGCACAAACCGCCACGAATATTCGCTACGAATATTTCACGTTGGTCTGGAGGTTTCCTTAATTCGACGAGATTCGACGACGCGTCCTCTTTCCAACGATCGTTTCGGTTTTAGAAGCTGGCGTGAACCGCGACGTATGCACAAACTCGCTAATCTCGCGTGGAACATCAATTGTCAAGCGATCAGCTGATCGTTTCGATCCGACGACTCGATCTGTGCCGATACTCACTGCTAGAATTTACTGTTAATTAAACGTTCGATCGTGATTCTGTTGAGATTCTTTGCACTCGCAGTAGCTGCTCGCGACGGCAACTTGCGTCTCGACGTGCAGATGCTGTTTTCGACGTTCGAGGTGTTTCTGTTTGAACGAAATTGTCCGCACTTGATCGGTGTCGGTTTCTTTTTTTAAGGGCGTGCACCACCCTGACGCGTCTGAAAATAGGTAAAAATTGGGGAATCTTTTTGTACAGGTAACTACTAAGAAAATTTCAATTTTTTCAAAGAATATACATGCAACTTTCAGCTTTTTTCTCTAACTTTTGAAAAGGAAAAATTTGATGAAATAGAGGTGTTATTGTGAGACTTGTGCTGCTAGAACAGCAAGGATTATGGAACGTCTGAAATAAAATATTCTTTCTCGTTCATAAATAGAAATGTATCATCTACAAATGTAGCGTACTATTTTTCAAAAATTGTGATTATTATAGAAGTGGTGTTTTTACTGTTTTTACAAAAAAAAAAAAAGAAAATCAAATTCAAACGCTTCTAAAGAATTAAATAATTGATTATTTCAAGCGTTTCAATCCTTGCCAGCGATGGCGACCGGCAAGCGATGCTCTAGCAGAAGAGGTTTCGCAATAACCCGTCCATTTTGTAACATTTGTACATTTTTAAAATTGGAAAAAATAGCTGAAGGTGATATCCTCCGGAAAAAATTGAAACTTTTCACTTAGTAGTCACTTACGAAAACAAATTCCCTAACTTTTATCTATTTTTAATACGATACTTAGAGAACTGTGTGGAAACAGGTTGTGAATTTGATTGTGATGATGGATCAGTGCAGAAAGGCACTATTTCACGGATCTTTGCGTACGATTTTATAAGAATTGCATCGATTTTGATAAAGATATGGAATATTATCAGCGGCATATTATTAATAATATATGATTTTCGTTAAAGCTAGGCTCTATTAGCCTGCGTTTAATTAAATGTTCGTGCAATACTGGTCGAACGTTCGATGTGAAATAACATTTTTTTTCCGTCTGACGTTCGACTATATTTCGAGGTATTTAGTGTTTGTAAATTGTTGATAGGCTCGTTCGTGAAAGGAATCGATATTTTTCAACGTCGGGACCGTTTAGAGGTAAACGCAAGATTGGCGCGAGTCGAAGGGAACGCGTTCGAGTGTATACGCGACTCTTAATTGGGTAGTAACAAATAAAAACAGAAGCAAAAAGGGTAATAATAGAAAAAGAGAAAAAAATAGGAAACTCACGATGATATATTCTCCACTGTCAACTATTTGTATCGTTCCTTTGCAGATAACAGTTCACCGTAAAATTGTTCGCAAAAGTTACAACTCGAAGCGTTTCACCATTCGACAGCGATGATTCGATTTAATAGTTCTCGTTCTAGGAAACACGACGTTCAAGTTGTTCGAATATTTTTTTAAGAGAGAAGAAAAGATGGTGAAAGGAAATAAAAGGATAAAGGAGTATCGAAGATCGGTAATTCGAAAGGCGGCGATGACTTTCTATGATCGTAACAGGGTGCTTTTAATACTATACTATAAATAAGCTGGCGTATATCCGTTTCTTTGAACTTACAAGTGACGATAATTATTCCGACAGTTTTTCCAACACGAAAGTGCGATTAACCAAAGACCCATTTTTCTTTATTTCTCGTTCGTACAAAAATTGTATATTAAATTTGATCGAACGTTTTATCTATTATATAGCTCGTTCGAAGAATGAGATTCTTCTTGAAAATAATTGACGTGCTCGCGTTCATACGTATTTAGAAGCACGGATTTTACTCGAATTCCTCCTTACACCAGTTTTGTCACACTATGTAAAAGCGATAAAG